CTAATCATTGGTTTAGCTTGACTTTGGACAATAAATCAACAAGTTAATAAGGCTTTCTCTAGCAATAACAAATAATTGCAGAAAATGCAAAGTACTGGACCGCGACAGGATTCGAACCTGCATCGCACAACTACAAACCAAGACACTTACCTACCGCCCTACCCTAGCACCCAGAATGCTGGCACAAGTACTCGCTATTGTAGGTGGCCCTATGGAAACAGTGCCCATATCTTCTTCTAGAAAACCGTTTCGCAGATATGAAAGAAAGATTTGAGTTTCCCATATCCAACTTGTTATTATGGAATATATCTTGTTTTGAATGACCACTTCGAGTAAAAAGCATTCCCTTGTAAGCCGATAAGTCACAGCACTGTTGTGGGAATTGTGCCTCACAACTTGTAGGCCTCAGTTGTAGCGCCGCCGCCATTTTCTCAATATTTTTCCCCCATGATCGACTACAACTCCCGACTATTTCTATAAAATCTACAGGAATTTTCGGTTTTTTATGGCATGATGGAAAAAGCTTTTTATGTTTTTTTATCATCTAAAATGTCGTTTTATCTATCTAATATGAAAAAGGTTCTTTTATCTATCTAAAACATTGTGTGAAAAGAACTTTGCTTAGCTTTTCATATAGTCACAAATTTAACTTCAAGTCTAAACTGCTGTGGGTAAGTACAAAAACGGAAGATTTGAGAATCAGGCTATCAGCAACAAGTCTTTCTTCATTATAAATTCCTTCTCGTCCTGGAAAAGTGGAACCTATGAAAACCACTACAGAAACCTGAACTTACACTCCGTGGCATCATCTCGCAAAGGACGTGAAGATAAAAGATCATTTTGAGTATAGCATAAAAGACGAAATGGTAAGAGCGAGCGTTCGAGGTAGTTCGCGATCTGAAAGTTTCTAATTTCGCCTTAAAAAATTCTACAAAGTTAATCTATATAGATTAAGTTTTGGACGGTGTTGTCAAAAAATGGTTTCGGAAAAGGGGTTCTAAAAAGCAACTTTTTCGGCATCAATAATTTCTGATTTGAGATTTGTTTCCCATCGCTCTTTTCTCTTTTTCCTCAGCAAAGTACAGTAGCTGGTTCCACTAGTGCAAATTCAAGACTTTATTTATGAGAACAATTGGAAGGAGCTACAAACGCTATGCTCTGGTCCTTGGCGGATGCACTCATCAACTAGAAAAAAGGAGGCAGGTTCACCCCAGTAAAAGAGAATCACAACCAACTAGTTTTGCTGAAATTGCTTTGGTGTACAAGGAATTGCATGGCTTCCATATAATTTCATGTTCATTCGCGGTAAGATTCCTCAGCAGGGGTGAATCTTCGTCAATATCGACTAGATCTATAACGCCCAGGATGTGACGAACTTCGCAGTGACCTCGAGACAAACTGTCCCCATTGTTCAAACAACGAGGCGTAAATGAAAGAACAACCCAAGAACAGGAAAAAAGACGAAGTCAAACGAACCAATAAGTACGGCAAAACCCAAGCAATCTGCAGAAACGTCAGCTTGAGCGGAGACGGTGATAGTCGATGACGTTCGAGCAGCACGTAATCGGCGACCGTTCGACAAAACATTGCAGTGCCAAGATAATCATCAAAGCGAATAGTAGGAGCTGTAGTGAGAAGAGAGTGTGAGAAGAAACATGGTCGCTCAGCAGCGAATAGTGTGGGTGGATTCGGTCGCATCGCAAAACCGTTCGATATGGAGAACGTAAAGGCGGGACCAAAGGCTTGCCGCCTCCCTGGAGCAAAGAAGGCATTTCTAGGGCAATGTAGTAGGGAGCTGGAAGTAAGAGAGAGGATGTTGAAAATTTATTAGCTCTTCTATCGAGACTAAACATAACATTGATGATGGCAGCTCCGTTCTGGAAGACATAAAATTCATTACTTCTACCTCTAATTTCTTCC